ATATATGACTTTCTATCCAACGAGGGTAATGTAACGTCCTCCGTCCCTCAGGGAGCCGTGTTAGGACCGTTCTTTTACTTTCTTGCTATCGCTTACGCAGTAGAGAGAAAGCAATGTGTTGCTGCGGAAAAAAGCGGCGAATTCTCGACAGAAAAACTCTTATTCCCAGGTACTGATAACGAAAAAGTGGATAAATCCAGTTGCTAAATTTAGAAAAAAAATCCTCTAACAGATGGTGTAGCCATAATCCATGTTTTGTGGGTCCTTGATACCAAAAAGTGGAAAGACGGCAAAACGCCTGTCCGTCTGCGTTCAACACTAGCGGCTAAACCGATCAGCCGATTTCTCCCAAAATTGATATTCCCCAAACGAACTATCTGATATCACGCCTCATTGAAATTCAAACCGAAATTTTAATTTTGGGGGACACTTTACATAAAGGAAGTCGTAGGCTTCCACGGCCAGTCATAGGCCTGCCACATTCTAGCCTTGAGGAAGACCACGACAAGATGGTCGAAACGTCGGCAACACAGCCTTCGACGCGGCGTCACCCGGACAGCCCAGATCACGCAAACTTTACATTAAGTGCTTGAGACATTTTTCCAATTTAAAAAAAAAATGGCTCCAACGTTTTTGATTAAACTTTGTTACTGGATAGTGTAAATGACGTTTATGAGAAAGTTTCAGGTCTCATGTTCGTTGATGAACATAATTTTTGGAATGTTTCAAAAAAATGTTTTGTCTTCCTACAACTAAAGTATTAAAGATAGAGATTTTTTCCTTAATAAAATCTGTTCCTTACAGATTTTGAAATGAAGCAATGTACAATTTTTCGAAAAAAAATTCGCTTAATTTTGTATGAAAAATAGACAAATTGAATTTGGTTTAAACAATTTTTTTCTTAAAAATGACACCAACACTTTGATTAAATGTTGACCTACGATTCCGTATAGGAGGCTTAAGAGAATGGTGTAGGTCTCCTGTTCGTTAAGAACTCTGATTTTTCGAAAACTGCAAAAATTCAAAATTCTTTTGGCATCTTCCTACAACTAGCCTAAAATTATGAAGATTGACATTTTTTTTCCCTTGATGTAATATATTGTAACATATTACTCCTGCCGTTATAAAAGATTAGCCCTGCCTTGAATGGGGAACAATCAACATATTAAAAAGAATGGTCACGGCAAAATATTAGGGTTTTGAGGTGAAGGAAAAAATAAACGAAATAGAAGTTTAATATAATACAATTTAACAATTCGTCCAATAAGATAGTTTCAAAAACATTATTTAACTGTTTCTATTCCCATTATGCTGTAAATTTCCGTGAAACTGAATTCTGCCACGCACCGAAAGATATAAACATTTCATCGATATTCTTCTAATCATTCGTTAATTTTCACCTGATATCGAACATAAGTATATTGTAACGTATTAGCCAGCGTGCCTCATGGCATCTATTTGGGGACGCTTGGTTGCGGATT